AGCAGTTCCCTCCGCCCTGGAAATCCAGGACAGGGCAGGGGTTTGCCCTGGGCATCTTCTCTGTTCTTAGAGAACAGGGCCTTCCAGAGTTTGAGATTGCCCTGTGCCTTCTCCCAGGGCCAGGACTCGCCCCACCCTCTGAGCATTGAGGAAAATATTAGCACCTCAGAATGGCAGCAGAGGGCCAGGGCTGCTGCCAGCCGCCTCCAGGCTCTTGCCTGGGAACATCTCACTCCCCTTCTGCCCAGCCTCCACGGCTGTCCTTCCTCCGTGGGATCTCCGGAGGTGACCGCTTCCCAGGCTTTCAGTTTCCTCATCTGTCACATGGGGATAAACAGTATCTGTCCTACAAACTCATGTGAGGTTGTTAATGTTGGTATTAATTAATGTTGTTGTAAGTAAGAAGCCACCCTTGATAGGGTTTGGATAAAGCAGCAGGGGACAAGTGTTTCCCCCTTATTGTCCCCCAGGGCACAAAAGCCTTAGAACCAGCCAGGATCCTAGGTGTAGGAGCAGCCCCAGGCCGGAAGGGGTGTTTGCCAAAACTTGAGGCAGCCTGTGGTGCAGGGGTCCACTGAGGACTATTAGCCCCGGCTGGCTGGCCACACAGGGCAAGGTGGGTCAGGACAAGAGAGTCCTGTTTGCCCAGTGGATGGGGCTCCTTGACCACCCTAGAGGGATGCTTGGGGTCACAATGCCCTGGCAGATGACCCCTACTGTGGTCAGGGTGATGGCTCCAGAGCATGCCCCATTAAGCACGTGGGCACCTCAATTCTCCGGCACTCTGGACCAGTAGTGCTGTTGGCACAGACAATGGGGCACTGGGTAGGTCGCTTTCACCTGTAGCACTGCACTCCAAGTAGCCAGAATGCCAGCCAAGCAGCAGCCCCTCCCCACAACCACTGTCAAAGGTGAGTGGGGTGCTCCCTGCCTCCCCCTGCCCCACATGCCAAGGCATCAGAGGCCTGGAATTATGGTCCTGCAGCCCTTAATCTCAGTGTTACTAGTCATGAAAATGAAACTTGGGATCTGGGGCTGTTCCGCAAGGCATTATCCAGATGTGGCCCCTCTGCAGCATTTGCCCCAACCCCGAGGAGGCTTCTTTCCACACCTGTCCTGGCAAATTCGCCCCTTTGTGGTGGAGGCAATATCAGTCCGTCCTTTTAACACTTGGACCCGGTCACTGCTCAGAGCATCCCTGCCCGCTCTCCACCATGAATTCTTCTCAACAGAACAGGAGAGGTCTTCTACTGGTGCCTCCAGGTAGAATTCTCCCAACCACGAAGCTCAGGGGAGGTTTACTGGAGGAGGGGACAGCGGGCTTTAAGAAGAGGTAAGAATTCAGTGTGTAAGACACAGGGGATGGAGAGGCAGCCTGGCTGGGTCTGGGTCTGGGTCTGGGAGGGGGCTGCAAGGGTGAAGCTGGGCTAGGAACTGAGAAAGGGCTGCTTGAAGTCTTAGACCCAAGGGAAGCCTTGGATCTAAAGGACCATTAGTGAGGTCCCTGGGCCCAGAAGAGGGAGGCTGGGCAGCCAGGAGAACCGAGGTCATGTTCGTCTCCAGCTGGGGCCAATGGCCTGAGTGGTATCAAGGGATGGAAAGGCTCCAGGCAGGCTGATAACAGCCATTTCTGGGGAAAGAGAATAGAAAGGATGAAGAGGAGGTAGAAAGCCGTCCCCCTAGCCCGCCCCCAACCAGGGATTAAACCTGGGAAATCACAAAGCAAGCAGAGAGGGGCGGAGCCACCTCCTGGGCACAGGCTGCAGCTTTGGGGACACACCTACTCAAGGGCCGTTAAGGGCTCCCTATCTCTACTCTATCAAGCCCAGAGTGGCAGCAAGGCCCCACCTCTGCTCTGAGGTACATTCCCTCTGCCTCCTCTTGCACCCCTCCCTGTCCCAGGGGTGAAGCTCCCCTGGCTGATGGGTGAGGGGGGAGTCTGGCCTGGGAGAGCGGCTTGGGGCTGGCCCCAGAGGAGGAAGGCAGAGCCTGTCCCATCCCGGGTTCTGATGAATGACAGGGATGTGAGTCACGGCTGCCCAACAAAGAGGGGAAGAGAATTGTTTGGGAAGGTGTCTCTAAATCAGGAGGCTAGGTGACCCTTCCCAAAGCCCAAGCGCCTCCTCTGCGGAAAGCCTAATGGTGTGGAGGCATCCTGGGGGGGAGGCTGACTTGCCCCCTCGTCCCCAGAGAGCTGAGGCAGCGTAGACACGGTACTGGGCTGCTTCTGTGACCACTCGAGACCAGGCGGGAGATGGATGAGGGTGCCATCCAAACTGTTTGGATGGACAGGTCAGCTCCTGCATGGGAGGGAAGGCACACTGACCTCCTCCTTCCCCACAACCTCCCCATTCCAGGTGTGGGTGTCCATACCCTCCGTCCCTACACTTGTCTCTGGGAATGGACCCAGCCTGGGTCAGAATGGAGGGTGGGAGTGTCTACACCACTCCATCCCTAGACTTGCCTCTGGGATTGGACCCAGCCTGGGCCAGGATGGAGCTCAGGCTGGGAGGGGTCCTACTTTGCCACAGGGAACCAGCCCTAATGAGCTCATGGTAGCTAAACTTTCCCTCCTGCTTTCCATGATTCATGTTTCTAAAAGTAACCAAGATAGAGTGCCAGCCAGACTCCGTTTCCTATATGGCTCAGAGCGAGTCAGAGACAGGGGAGACAAAAGAAAGAGATAGAGACATAAGAAGAGACCACAGAGAGATGAAAGACAGAGACAGAAAGAGAAGAGAAGCAAAGACAGAAACAAAAAATGAGAAAACACAGAGAAGAGAGCAGAGGAGAGACTGAAACGAACAGAAAACAGAGACAGAGAGAAAGATGGGAGAGACAGTGCCTGGGGAGGTGAGGGGCAGGTGTCAGTGGGCCCTGGAGCCTCTAGAAATGGGTGGGGGTGTGAACAGCTCCCTGGCCAGGGACCAGGCTTCAGGTGGCCTCCCCTGCATCTCTGCTCGCCCCCCCCCCGCCCCTCTCCTTGGCAGACTGATCCACCCCACAGACGGATTCTGAGCAGTTCCCACCCAGATGAGCTCAGCCTCCTCTCCCTCTGGGCTCCTGGGCTCCTCTGTTGGCTGCAGATACCCGTTCCACTCCCCAGCCTCAGACGCCAGCTTTATCAGAAGTGATGTGCATTTGGCTCTGGACACGGCCTCCCCTCCTCCCCGCTGGAGGGCTGCTCAGGCCTCTCCCCAGCCACCCTAGGACAATCCAAGGATGGGTTATTCAGTCATTTCAGTTGTGTCTGACTCTTCCTGACCCCATTTGGAGTTTCTTGGCAGATACTGGAGGGGTTTTCCCTTTCCTTCTCCAGCTCATTTTACAGATGAATAAACTGAGGCAAACAGGTTAAGTGACTTGCCCGGGGTCACACAGCTGGTCAGTGTCTGAGGCCAGATTTGAACTCAGAAAGATGAGTCTTCCTGACTCCAGGCCTGGCCCTCTATCCACTGTGGTGCCCCCAGCTGCCCAATCCAAGGATGAGTCAGCCCCAAAGTCACAGGTGAATCCATTGATAGAGGGGAGGCCTGGGACATGGGACCTCTAGCTTCCCTCCTGCAGGGCCGGGTGCAGGGCTCAGCTGGGAGTCGTCAGTGATTCTAGTTTTCCATGCTCCCTTCTCTCACCAAAGCCTCCACAGAACACAAAGGGCAGGTGCCCTGGTCATGTTGGTCCCAAGCCCTTGATGGGCCTCGAGCAAGATGATGGTTACAAATGAGATGAACTCCAGCCTGGTTGGTCCCACTGGCAAAGACATTTCTTAAGCAGGTGTTTTGTGCCAAGGCCGTCAGTGCTGGGAAAGCCCCAAAGTTGGGCTCACACCCGGCCTCTCTCCTCATGGAACCAGGGTCTAGTCCAGGGTTATTACACGGAAAGATGTTCCACAGGCAGAGAAGAAAGAGGGATCCACAGGCCTAGGGGCCAGCATGGGATGAGATGCAGAGGAGGGAACCTATCGTGTATCCTCCTAACAATGTTTTGGAGTGCCAGAGCTTCCAACTGGAGGCAGGAGATGAATAGTGGCCGACAGGGACAGTCAAGTCATAGGGAGGGATAGGTCTAGGTGGGGAAAGAGAATGAGCTTGGCCTGGACCAAGGTGCACGCTGGACAAGTGCTTAGAGATGTCCTGGAGATTAAGGCTGGGAGCTCAGGAAAGAGACCAAGGCTAGATAGGGGGAGAGAGGGACCGGCCCCATTGAGGTGGAGGGCCAGGCAGAGGGATCCTGGGGGAGGACCTGGAGGAGGAATGGTCACAGAAGCCTTAGTCCTGCCTCAGGCCAAGGGAAGGGGAGACCAGAGACCAGATGCCCTCAGCTGTGAGGAGGGGGAGGACTGTGGAAAGTTATGGCACTTGGTGGTTAACCAGTCATTGGAGAGGAAGTTTCCGTGGAGTGACAAGCAGGGAAGCCAGAAGGCAGGAGTCCAAGGACAGAGTGGGTGGTACCAGAAGCACAACATCAGACGCACATGTCTTTTTTAAGAATAGAATTAGAGTTGGGAAACCTCTTAGCGGTCAATTCCTCCAATGCCCTTATTTGACAGAAGAGGATACTGAGGCTTAGTGGCAGGAAGCACTTTGCCCCCAGTCTCAGAGAGCAAATGGCGATCTTCTCGGTGAAGCGGGAGGCCAGAGGGATGGGGCGGAGGTTGGGGCTTGAAAAAAGAGGAGGCATTTGGAGTAGGCCCGTTGGGGCAGCCAGACTGATGCTGGCGTGAAGCCAGGAGCTTGGATTGGGAGCCAGGGTGGGCTTCTTCTCTGTCCATGACGTCCTGTGGTATACCCTGGAGCCTGGCGGAGGGGGGAGGGGAGCCACGCTTCATGGTGGGGATCAGGGCAGGACTCAATGGTTCTGGGGCAGCCCTGGGGGGCTTTAGGAGAATGTGGGATGGCAATGGGTGGGTGGGGGGAATCCAAGAGGAGTATGGAAACGGGCTTCCCCAGTTTCAGGTCCCACTCATTAGGCTGTTCCGCCTTGTCTTCTCTGCCTCACAGCTCGCCAAGGGAGTCAATTCAGGCCAGGGATTGGGCATCGAGATCATAGGCACCCTGCAGCTGGTGCTGTGTGTACTGGCCACCACGGACCGCAGGCGCCGAGACATCTCAGGCTCCGCTCCATTGGCTATCGGCCTCTCTGTCGCCCTGGGCCACCTCCTCGCGGTAAGCTGGTGGTACCCATGGCCCCAGAGGGTGGAGGGATAGGGCAAACCATTGAAATGTCCTGAGGAACTCCAAGACCTGGGCAAGTCGTCCTCGGGAAGGCAGCTCCTCAGAGCCAAGAGACAACAACGCTGTTGGGCTTGGGGGCCCAGAGCAGCCCCAGGTGGGGGAGCATCCGGGCCCCACGTTCTTTCCGTCTCCTGGTCCCTCTGTTTTCCTCCTTCTCTGTCCCCGTCTTCCTCTTCTCCATCTCTCCATCTCTCCGTCTCCACGTCTTCTACTTGTCTTGGTTTCTTATTTCTACCTCCTCTCTCTTTACCTCCACTCTCCGTACCTGTCTTCTCCCTCCCTCCCCCTGTCCTTTGTACCTCCCACCCCCATCCCTCACGCACAATCTCTGACCCACAGATTGATTACACCGGTTGCAGCATCAACCCTGCGCGCTCCTTCGGCCCAGCGGTTATCACCAACAACTTTGAGCACCACTGGGTGAGTTGTGTGGAGTCTCGGCCTCACTCTGTGGGGAAAGGAGATCGACAGGCTTCTTGGGTGACCGTGAGCCAGAAGGAGAAAGAGGAGAGGGCGGGGCTTCAAGAGCCAGAAGAGGTGGTGGTGGCTTGCGGTCTGTTGGGGAGCTGAGCTGCCCTCGGGCGTTGGGGGACAGAGGGAGGCCTCAATGTGGACTGTGCCAGGCCCTGAGGTGAGGGTGGGCAATGCCTTCTCGCCCTTCCACACCTTCGCTGAGTGTCCTTGGGCAAATCGCTTTCGGTCTCTGGCCCTCAGTGTACTGGTCCGTGAAATGGGGTTAACAGCCCATTTAGGGCAGCTGCTGCCTCTCTGAAGCTTTCCTCCTCCTCTTCCAGATTTTCTGGGTGGGGCCCTTCATCGGGGGTGCCTTGGCTGCGCTCATCTACGATTTCATCCTGGCCCCACGCAGCAGCGAGCTCACGGACCGCGTGAAGGTCTGGACCAGCGGGCAGGTGGAGGAGTATGACCTGGATGCCGAGGACCTGAACTCCAGGGTGGAGATGAAGCCAAAGTAGAGGCAGCCTCCGCAGAGTGGGGGAGGGATGGGCTTGACGGGCAGGCGGGAGGGGGCGAGGGCGGGGCTGGGGGAAGATGTCAATCTACGTTATAGACTTTACAAGCCAGCTGACTCGGAGACATCCGGGTGCCCCCCTAGGGCGCCTGGCCTCCCGGGGTGTCTCAGCATCTTTCTTTCTCTTTCCTTGCCTCTTGTTTCTCGAGCTGGGTGCCTGGGGTCCACATGTTGATGCTTGTTTCCCCAAGATTGGGACACAAGAGAGGGATGGGAGCACCTCAGAGCAGCCTCCCCAGGGCCTTGGACTGAGGTTTTGAAGGGGATTCTATCCGCAGGGCGGGGCAGCCGAGGTATTTGTCTACACCACATGATGTGAGAGGAACCCGTAAAGCTTTCTGCCCTCGTTTGTCTCCCCTACCCTGACACCTGCTCCAAATTCTACCTTTTGAGGGGTCTCAGATTCCCCATCTGTGAAATGGGTGCACTGGATAAGCTGCCCTCCAAAACATTTTCTTAGCAGTAATGACAGGAGTTTGTGAACACGGAGAGTGTCGATCGGAGAAGAGCTCAGGGCCAGAAATGGGGTCTGCTTTGGGCCAAGGATGCGCCCACCCCTCCCCCACCCCAACGTGATCCTTGAGGCCTTCTTAAGCCCTCAGGAAATAATCCTGTCAAAGCATCTTTTTTTTTTTTCTTGAATTGCATAGAGAATTTCTGCCCTTTGAAGTGTGCTGAGGCCTGAGGCACCAGCTCTGCCTGGGCCTCTGTTCTGTAGCCTTAGGCTAGAGCAGGCCCGGATGACCTTGGCCACGCCCCAATGCCCCTCTGTTTGCTAGGAGCTGGTCCGGGTCACCCTAGGGCCTGGTGGGGCTGTCTCAGTCAGGGACACCAGCTGTAGAGACAAGACAACCACCAGCTCAGGCTGGCCCCTCTCCTGCTCCCTTCCCACCAACATTCCAGCAGGATCTACACAGCCTGCAGACAGGGAGCTCCATCAGGGTAGACTACGGCCTGAGAGATGGGAGCTGGGTGGGGTGGATGCCCTGGACCCTCTCCTTTCCATGCCTCCATGCCCTCCCTCTCTGCCAGCAGCCAGGCCTCCACATCCCTAGGCATCCAGAAGGAGATGGAGACACTCAGTCTGGGACCCAGGGGTGTGGCAGCATCCCAGCCGCCACAAGTCTTTCCCTTTGCTGCTACGCACTTTCACATATATACCACATCCCGCCCATTGGACAGATGAGGCCATTGAGACCTGGTGCCCAGGGAGCTCGGTGTAGGCAGGGACTAGAGCCTAAGGTTTCTGACTCTCTGGGGATGAAGTGATTGACTGTCTTTCCCCAGGTGCCCCTGCAGCGTCCTGACCATGGGGCTGGGGGCAGAACCTTATGGCCTATCCCTTTCTCTTCCTCACTTCCAGTCGGTGGGCCCCTGTCTGTCTGTGTGGCAACTACTGCCTCATTGGGATTGGAATCACATGAACAAATAAAGGTGTATGAATACTGAACACCCCACAGCCTCCTGGCTTTTGTCTGATGCCCACCACCAGAGGGGAAACTGAGGCAGGTTAGGAAGTGGCCTTTCCTCTGGGGCTCCATCACAGGTGATCTTCGTGTGGGCTAGAGGATGACGAGGATGGTCCAGAGCTGGCCTGCCGACTCTGAGGACCTGAGATTCCTCCCTCCCTCCCTCCCTTCCTCTCTCCGTTCCTCTCCCCACTTCCCCTACTCCCACTGAAACCCCAGGATGTTTGCTGGGGAAATCTTATTAGGGAAGGAGGTGGGAGATTGGGGGAAGGGGTCAGTCAGCACAGCAGGACACATGGGGGAACCTAAAGGGAAGACCTTGAGAGGACCCTGCCCAAAGGAAATTTCAGTGGGTAGGGCTGTCTCAAAAGGTAGTGAGTTCCCCATCCCTGGAGATCTCCAAGAGAAGCTGAATAACCCCTTATAAGGGATAATGGTAGGGGGATCCTGATCAGGTCACTGTTGGACTGGATGCTGCTGGAGTGCCTTCCATCTCTGAGCTTCTATGATTCTGTGAACTGGGAGAGGGGGATCAGGGAAGGACAGCTACCAGGAGGAGATGGAAACAAGGAAGCTCGGAGGGGACCTGGGGAGGACGAGCCCCTCCCCCATAGCTCTCCGGCGGGAGAGAGAAACACCCTGGTGGGTGTGGGGCTGGTGTGTGGGGAGCACACTCAGGGCCTCGTTTAGGTTCACACAGTAGAGATCATCTGAAGGGGACTCAGCCCGGGTCCTGGACGCCATGAGGCCTGGCCAGCCTAGCCCCACAGCAGGATTTCCCTCTGCAGTCTCCATGACGGGTCATCCTACCTCTGCTTAAATTCTTCCAGAGACCAGAGGACACGCCCTCAACAGGCCACAGGGTGACAAATTCAGACTGGGAAGGGTTAAGCTTTGTCCAACACCCTCATTTTACCCTTGAGGAGTTGGAGTTCAAAGGTGGTGAAATCACTCACCCAAGGTTACCCAGACAGTCAAAGGCAGAGGAGGGATTTGAACTGAGGTCTGCTCATTCCCCTGAGTGGCACCCATATCCTGTCCCATTGCTGCAGGGTCCAATAGCTGGGGAGCTCTTCCCTGCTTGCCTCTTGTTAACAGGTCCCAGCCCATTCCCACCTGCCAGTTTGGGGGAGCACAAGGCACTGGTCACACTCTCCTCCAGCCTAAATTAAATCTCTAAATTAACCCTGAAGGAGAAAAGATGGCAGATACATCTAAGACCTCATGACTCCATTATTCTGTGAGAGTATAGCCCTGGCCCCCTTCCTGAAGCCATTATCAGTCATTAACACTTGAGTATGAATTTGTTTCTCAGATCCTTTCCTGAACCCTTGGTAGGGTAGGGGGAAGAAGATAGGAGAGCCACTCCAATTGTAGGTGGGGTTGAAGGAGGACACTAGGAAGCCCTGGCCCTGCCCTGCCTTCCAGGCCACAGCTGAAAAAGTGCTTTGGTAGCTTGGGGACCAAGGGCCCTGGAGCTAGATCTGAAGGACCTGGGGGGCTTATCCTGTTTTGTGTCCTCTGAAGGTCCCTGCGCCTGGCCACCTGTCAGGCAGAAGTGCGCTCGGGTCTTAGCCTCCCTGAACAATGCCGGACCAGGATGTGGATTCCTAATGACTTCCCTTCGATAACGTAGCCAAAAAAGGCACCTTGCAAGGCCTGGGGCCCTGCCTGGGCCAGGCCAAGAACGTACTGTCCCTCCTCCACAATCATTTCCCCATCCCAAGCAGTGCATGTTAGAGCCGTAAGGCAGCTGTCTGGGCCTGGAGCCAGGAGCCGGAATCTGGCCGTCAGTCAGCCAGTACTTACTGAGGAACGTGTAGTGTTCCCAGAGTCAGAATCTCCAAGCTGGACAGGCCGTCAGAGGCTGCCCCATCCAGTCAATCCTTGGACAAGCTGGAAGCATCCTTCCTAACAAGTGGCCTGCAGCTTCTGCTAGAAGACTTCCAGGGAGGGGAGCCCATCAGCCCCCAAAGCAGCCTGGCCCACTCTGGGACACCTCCCATTGTTAGAGAGTTTTCCCTGACTTTGAGTCTTTCACTTTTTCAGTTTTGACTCATTGCTCCCAGCTCTGCCTTCTAGGACCAAACAGAATGAATGGATGGATGGATGGATGGATGATGGATGGATGATGGATGGATGATGGATGGATGGATGGATGGATGGATGGATAATGGAGGGATTATGGATGGATGGATGCTGGATGGATGATGGATGGATGGATGGATGATGGATGGATGGATGGACAGATGAATGATGGATGGATGATGGATGGATGGATGATGGATGGATGGATGGATGGATGCATTTGTCAAGCCCTTACTAGGTGCCAGGCACTTCTCTAAGTACTGAGGATATAAATACATGCAGGCAAGACCTTGCCTTCAAGGAGATGACTCTTCAATTGGAGAGATAGCACCTAACTGGGAGCTGGGGTAGGGCTAGGTACTTGGGCCCCACCATGGTTCCGAAATGACTGGGAAGCTGAGGTGGATCCTTGGTTCCAGGCAAGAGAAATCAAAAGCTCCTGAATCAGAGCATGCCAAGAGCCTGGTGTGGGAAGGGGACTCTTCCTCCTGCCCGTGGTTGTCCCTGTGCCTTGGTCTTCTGGGACTGGACCCATCTCTGCCTATTGAAGTCAGATCTAACTCATAGGTCCCTCCTTTACTCAATACAAACCAATTCAATCAATATTTATCATGCATTGTGCCAGGATTTAAGGGCACAGTGCCACAATGAGACAAGCCTTCCCTCTTCCCAAGAGAAGTACTCAGCCCCTCCTCTCCCATCTTCAGTAACCCTTCCTTTGTTCCTTCATTTCTTTCTTCTTCTTCTTCTTCTTCTTGTTCTTCTTCTTCTTCTTCTTCTTCTTGTTCTTCTTCTTCTTCTTCTTCTTCTTCTTCTTCTTCTTCTTCTTCTTCTTCTCTCTCTCTCTCCCTCTCTCCCTTTCTAGGACTCAGTCTCCTCATTTTGCCCTGGCTAGAAGCACAGGGCACCTCCATGGTCCACCACTAATCAGCATAGGAGCTTTGACCTGTTCTATTTATGATCTGAGCCACCTCTTCCCTTCCTAGGCAACCCCCCATTCCCAGGTGTTCCCAACGCCGATGCTATCTGATGGACTTAGCCCCATGCAAATCAGATCTTTTGAAATCAAGAGATTGCCAGCCTCAGCCTCTTTAGCAGCAGGAATCACATATGTGAGCCATCATGCCAGTCTCAGTCTACCCCTGATTATCTAGAGATAAATATAAATTTAAATTAGGGTGACCCCATCCCCATGTGGCAGGACAAAGAGCCCAAACTCTCCCTGAATGTTAGGAGTTTTCCTAACTGGGAGCTCTGAGCTGCTGTGATCATAGTACTAATTTTTCACTGAAAAAAACTCCACAAAAAAGCAGAGGAGTAGATCCGAGTGCCATCGTGTTGTCCCTAGGCTAAAAGGCAAACTAATTATTATAATGGGGGTAGCTGATTAAACCCGAGGGGAACCCAGGGAGAAGGATGGGAAATGTCGAGGAAGGATGCCATTCTGCCCCTTCTCCAGCCAGGCCCTTCCACCCTCTGAGGGGCCACCTGCTCCCATGTGTATCACATGCAACTTTTTCAGACTCTTCGGTGAGTCTTTCCGCCTTCTACTGTCTGTACCCCAACACATGCTTGGGAGTCACTAGCTCTAGCAAAGCCTTCTTCCACCTCTTCCGTCCCAGCTTCTCTCTCCCTTCCATGACCAAACCTGAACATATAGGGTTGTTGGGAAGGCATAGACATGGGAAGAGGACGGGACCTTTCCAGGGGCCATATCTTACTGGGAAATCCATCCTGGGAGGGGTAGGGGGTCATGAGTTCAAGCCCAAGAAGGGAGAGATTCTGAGAGGGAGAACCAAGCCTCAGGGAGATGCAGATAGGGGAGAAACTTTCAGTCAAACCCCAAAGCCTGGTCTCAGTGCCTGACCGGGCAAGAGGCAGAGAACAGCAGGAGAGAGCCAGAGTGAGGAGTCACGCCTAGGCTCCGGGGCCAGCAGTGCTCTGGATGGATCAGACAGCAGGCCTTTATTTGGTGCCTGCTCCCAGGGAGCTCGCAGGCCAAGCGTGTGGCCTCTGACTGGGAGCAGCAGCCGGGTGCCCCTCTGCCTTTCCTCAACTGCAGGCCCTTCTTTATGTTTCTAGCTGCTCTAGATGTATGTGATCTTGCACACCTGTGAGAGGAGGGGCTCAGACACCATCCCCCCGCCCCTTCTGGAGAGGAGACCTTGAGACTCAGCCTGTGGGAGTGCTGGCACCTGAAGGCTCCTGCTGGTTCTCATGTTTACTCCTTGTTCTAGTCTGGAAAGGTCACAGGGTCCCCACCATCAGCATCCCACAGCCAGCACATCCTGCTGGCACATTGGGGAGCACTCCCTGGAGTGTTCTCCTCTCTCCCCAATAAGCCCCCAGGCTTCTTCATCCTGTCCCTCACCTGGTGCTCTAAAGAAAGCCTGGCTTCCCACATCCCCATCTACCTCAGCCCCTTTCTTGCCTCTGGTCCACCTCCTCTTAGACACCCCCACCTGACCAACTTTGCCCTGAGTGCTAAAACTCCTGGTTGCAGGTTGCCTAGGTGTGGTTTGCACATGACTAGGGGTATCCCAACAGTCCTGGGTGACTCCATCCCCATGTGACAGAGCTGAGCCAAGCTGAAGGGGGAGGCACGTGTGCGGGAATCTGTGATCATGGTCTCACCAGCCCACACTGACTCAGCTCATGGGTGGTGCTCTGGGCACCTGGCCCCCTGTACCCATCCTGTCTGGCTGCCCTCTCCCTCTATGGTGGCTCGGACATAAGTGCAGATTCTGATAGGTTCTGTACTTGCCCAAAGGGCATCTTCACCCCCTCCCCCAGAGCCTGAGGGCTTGAAACATACACTAGGTACTCAGGCCTCCACACTGATCACACTCACTCAGATTGAGGTTGGCACATACACTTCTGAGATCCTTCTCCCAG